ACCTTTTTTGGTGTTATAACTCTTCAATTATTTACTTTCGTTATTTTGGCACTAGATTTGTATTGCCGCTTACTTTGGGTTTATACATGTTATTATCATACAGATCTAACTGAACTTCCATTTATACTAACTACTTTTGATATAATAAGCTGGATATTGCTATAACTTTTAAGTGTGGCAGTTTATTTGTCTTAGTCTCAAAATGGACTTGACTTCGGGTAGCCTAGACGTTACGTTACCTCGAAAGGTAATATTGAATTCTGGTGTCTTAGTCCTAATAGAATTTCGGGAGGTTTTCTAGTCCGGGAATTCATAGAAAACAGGTGAAAATGACCGATTTGTGTATGGAAGTGGCAAAAAAATCACGACGTTCAAAGTCTATCGTTAAGTTATCTTAGTTTATTATTTTTTAGGAACCTCCTCCTCTTAAGCCCGATGATCCCTTTATATGCTACTCCAAAGTAAATATTCAAGATACATCTAGGCCACAAGAAGATTCAAGGGAAAGATTCAACAAACGGTGGTCATTATTGACCAAGAACGAAGATTTGGTATTTTATTTCTAAGTCATTTCATACCATAGATGTCAAAACAAGAGCTCGTTAATTGTTTTCGGCTTTTGATGAATGATCATATGCGACTTGAACGGTTCATTTCAATTATGTCAAAAGATAGCGAAATGGTGTGTATTTTTCTTAGTGTCCTATATTTTGTTAAAATATTTATTAATATATATTTATACTATAGTTATATCAATTTAATTTAATATAGCATTCACTGTATATTTCTTTATACGAAGCGATGATGATTTTTTTTCTCGCAACAACACCTTTGTCCTTATTGATCTATTATATTTTTGAAGAAGGCATGTCATTCCCCACTAGCTAACTTCGGTATTTGGCGATCTTATTGGATTGACGCTATGTGCGATATAACCTTTCCTCTCCTATTTTGATAAACTTTGAACATCAAATTGTATAAAAGTTTAGTTTTACATCTTAGCTACCTGGACGCGATGACCGTCTCTCCTCACAACTTATGGATACAAGTCTCTTGGCCGGATGCGCACTTACACATAGCGTCCATACCGGCATGTTTTTGCTTTGGAAATTATGCTTAGTGGTATAGCCTTGCTCTTAATCGTGATACGTAGGGGTAATCATGCTTTGGGAGGCAGTTTGAAAATTATGAATTTTACCTTTAATATGTTTACTTTACAGAGCAAGGGCACAAGCAATCTTTGTATACAAATATCCATCAGATGGAGGAGTTTACTAGGGCACCTTTGAAAATCGCTTTAACGTGTGCGAATAAATCTTCAAACCGGACATTTCTCAATATTTCTAGGTGCTGTTGTATTTTGTATTGTGCATAAATTCATTAAGACTACTTCAGGCAAATGCACTTCAAATAATCGACGGATAGCTATAGAAGACTATATATGCATTAATATTATACTTTTCTGAATACTTATTAGGCCTGACAAAAATCTTCCGTCACGCAATGATTCTTTATTATTAATTTCCTAATATTCTTTTATACTACTTGCATATCGACCGTAGCATTTGGGGACCTATTGCCCTGCAATCTCTCGATTAATTCCATTTTTGTTAAATGAAATTGATTATTTTGTTTCGTCTCGGACAAGTTATTATATTTTTCCTTAGCGCTATTGCCTAAGCATTAGATTAATTATATAATAACAGCCATATGCTATCATTAATGTCACAGGTTAAGGAAAAGTACATCATACATGTTTTACTATTTTTGTTCATTAAAAAAAATTTATTTTTGGTAAAACAGTTGTATTGCTTAAAATCTACTGAAATAAATGTCAATTGATACCTTTGCCTAAGGCCAGATTAAAATGGTCCTATGGCTTTAACAGTCTTTTTTAAACAGTATATTATGCAGATATAAAGACCAGGATGCTGGGGCCTTTTGTATTGTCAAAGAGACAAGTGAATTCCATCTTTTGACCAATTGTCTGCTAAACTGTTGTGGTATTTATCCTGTTCTGGGCTGCTCACCTATCCTATATACTCGTCCCACTCCTTCTTAATTACTTAATTGTTTATTTAAATATGGTATTGTGTACCCTTTTGAGTGGATTTCATGAGACCGCTTCATCCCACGCTTGTTTTCTTACCCCACATCTCTATTATTGTGCTGAGAATGTTGATCTGAATCTTCCATATTATTACGCAATGTTCTTTCCATATGTC